TAGAAAACGTACCTACAAGGCCCGAAGAAATCGACGATGAAAGTGATCACGAGACGTTAGTTGGTGATTGTGATAAGAAAGTAACTAGTGCCCTACCCAGAAAGCCTTAGAAGGAGAAGCTCTGCATTGTAAATGTGAAAAATGGTTGAGAAAAGTTAGTGAATTCCGGATAATCACGCACAAAATAAAAGAACCTACCGAAATAGAACTTGCTAAAGGAACATTTAAGGGGATCGATGTTGAAAAGGACAAATATAGAGCCTCAAATAGCCCTCGAAAGCCTGCTGTTACGGATTGTGCTAATAAAGAAGCTAACCTTGGACCGTGCATGCAGAACGGAATCGGCGCTGAAAAAGATGAAAATAAGACGTTGGAACTGGACTTGAAATCTGCAGAAGGTTTTGACGAAGCCTGTGAATTCTGGAATGCAAAGGTTAGTGAGTTTAAGAAAATGAATGAAGGCGACCAGAAAACGATAAAGAGCCCATACCTCATTGATCCTGGGGAACCCCCGCCTGCTAATATGGTTTTCACTCAAAGCGGAATCGGCGTTGAAAGGGATAAGTATGAAATGCGCATACAACTTGCTGATATGAACCATGGTGACGAAATAAGTATCAGTCAAGATGAAATTTTTGATGAAATCTGTTGTGGATCTTGCTATCGAAATGATACCGATCTTGAAGTTGGAAGGAAGAAAGTGGATACCAAGGATATTGATGAAGATAAAGAAGATTGTAGAACGTTAGTTGGCAACGATGAAGTATTTGAAGTAAAGGACATAATTTTCCGATACTTACTGGCACATGACCTCAGTAACTCTGCCTTCGATCCTGGAGGAAACCCGAGGAATGAATTTAACCCAATTAGCACAATAGAATAATGAAAAAAAATATATATATAAACCTATACATATTACTATTTGATTATTACTCCGTAGTTTATTTTATTTTATTTTATTTTATTCCTTACTGCGATGGGCATTTTATGTTCTTGTGAACTCGAAAATAAAGCTGGGAGAATGTGAGAGGGAAAATCATTCAGCTCAATGCCGAAGTGGTTCGGATCGATCTAACCCAAACGGGTTAAGAACTGCCAAATCTGCCAAAAAGAGCAGATAGGTCAGATAGAGCAGATAGGTCAGATAGGTCATATAGATCATATAGGTCTTATATGGTCGTAACGGC